TGGCTTTGCTCATATGTGCTCAGTCGCCAATTCAAGTTGTTTGAGTGTAGCTGTTTAGATATGATAGGAAAACAATTAATTGATGAATGCTAGAAAGCCGTAAGAGTTACGTTTGTCTAGCATTATGATGTGGTCAACGACGTCAAAAGCTTTTTTTTGAGGTCAATAATGGCACCGCAAGAAAATAGTTCTTATATTGGCCTCCTAGTGAATTGCATCAACGATGTCTAATATCAACTGGTGAGATATGCTAGAATTTGCACGTCCAAAGTTGACTTCATAAATAGACTCCGCGGACTTTCATTACGTCTCAGACAACAAGGCTTTGAAACCAATCGACTTCAGAACTCATTTAATAAATTCGTCAATCGCCATGGTTTTATTGTCGAGAAGTATGGTGCAGCCCTTCGGGAGATGAGATTAGCAATCCAGGCTTAAATTGCACCATCGTATCCTTACATTGCTTATTCATTACTTGGATTTTTATTTCAGTTGTATATTGGTACGTGTGCGCGGGCGCAATTTAATTTTGGGCGCGTGCATTATTTATTTATTTATTTATTTATTTAAGTTGCGTGTACATGTAGTTCGTTTAATAACGTCTTAGTTTTGCTTTGCGTTATTTTCCTCACTTATATGTATTGTCCGCGACTGTGCTCACACGGTGGGTGGCTCCTCCTAAAATGTTCTGCCATTGGTATAGGATTTAATGGAGCCGAAACCAATTGTGGAATTGCACGCATTTTAGGCATCCTACTGATGAACAGTTGGGACACAAAAGCTTCGGTCTGCAAAAAGGCTAAAAAAGGACAAACAGATGCATTTTACTATCCGTGAAAAAGTCGAAAAACGTTTTGGTTTTGTGATTTATTCCATATTAAAGACGGTGCATTTACAGCGGTTTAAAGGGATGCTGAGTTCTAAGCTAGGTCAGCTATCCTCTCTTGTCACGTATGTGTGAAACGGGTACCATTTGTTAGCAATAGGAGGTAAACGGGCGGGGTACCTTTTCCGTCAAAAATAGTAAAAAGGAGTTGAACCTTTGGGCAGAGCCTTCCCGTTGTTAATCCTCCGAGCTCATGCTTCTGTGGCCTGCATGGGTACTTTCCTTGTGTAGTTTAATCGGTTCGGGCTCCTGGTTCGGGTGATAATCGTGGCCTCTGGACGCATTGCGCGCGACGTACTTGTGTTAGTCGACCCGGTTCTTTTCTCTTATTGTATATCTTTATGTCATTAGAATAACATTGTATAATGTAATAGACACTTCTCCATACTACCTGCCTCGATTAGCTCTGCTATTTTGCAGGTAGTCTGTAATTATAATTTAATCATTGTGAATGTAAACAAATAAAGCTTCTTCTGTATGTAAAAAAAAAAGTTTTGTGCGCGGACACCGATAACTCATTACTGGTTAGAGACCAGGCTATGGGGAGTGAAAACCCAAGGGATTGGTTAGGTGAATTCTGTATTAATTTGTCTTCCGGCTGGTGATCAGCCTTTAATCCCAACCTCCCCTCCCCTGCAAAAGCAACAGTTTGGCACATCATCACGTGACCAAAATAGTTCATGGCGGCAACAAGGCGGAAGCGATGGTAGTTAATGAAGTTCTTGCACTAGTTTTATGGAGCTTTTTGCCTCACTTAAGGTACGTATAACTTCTTTACTTAAAGAAATACAAGGTAGGTAGAGCTTATTTTTAGGCAGTGGAATAGACTAATTCATGCTTATTCTCCGATCGCTTAGCTGATGCTTACCCACGCGGTCGCGCGCGTTTAGCTAAATTAAGCTTACATTTGTTTGGAAAATTTTGATTTTCAAGTGCAATCTGTGGATGAAGTCTTATTACTTTATCATTTAAATGCAAGCTTTACAAAGAAAATGTTTCTTTATTTCAGTTTGAGGCGTTATTTTACGCAAATAAACAAATGGGATACAGTTTATGTCTTGCATATCTATAGCATGTAGCATTGTATTTTAATAAAATAAAAAGCTTATTATATAACTGGTCTGGTTGGATCGACTAGTTAAGTTTCCTTCATTTTGTCAACAAACGTCAAGGTGCTTCTACCTCTGGCTTTTCATTATGCTCAATCTTCTCCTTTGAAATTGGTCAGCAGCACCTCTGCATGTTACATGAAACAGATGCTTTAATTTGGTTTACCCCCCCCCTTTAAGCATGAGGACCTATTCCCCCCAACCCCCTTCCTCCTAGATTTCCAAAACTGCTTGAGCCTCCCTCCCCTCAGGATTTCCAAGTTCAAACCCCAACCCCCACCAATCCGGATTTCCATAAAGTTGTTAGACACCGTAATTTTAATTTACACTCACCATAGCAGAATCCTTTTAGGCCCTTAGATGATCTTTTTATTAAATAAGTCCATAGGCGTACGGGCCAGGGGGAGCGAGAGGGGTTGCAGCCCCCGCAAATTTTGGGCAACTCAGAATTTTTGGGCAGCAAGAGAAAATTTGGGCAAAGCTAGCTTTTGAAGAAGTTTCCATATTTTTATTATTATTTTGAAGAGATAAATATTTTCTTTTTTAACCTGAAGTCGGCGTAATAATCCGGTTACATTCACACGAAACAATGGTTGCCAAGCAAGTGATGAGTTTCTGTGTATAAGGGAAGGGTATCATATGCTGATTTTGTTTTATCGTTGGGCACTGTACTGCTATGGACTATTTCCAATCGTGAATTGCTTAGAATAAACTTCTGCCTAACTTTCTAGAATCATCTTCGCTCGTAGAACAGTGTATGGCAGATAGCATCAGTCATGGGTCTGAAAGTGAAGAAGTGGCTGACTAATTTTCAGTTTGAATTACGAGAAGAATCTTAATTTTTTAAAAAAAAAATCTACCAAGCGCGTTAAATTATTTACTAATTTGTTAAAGTAGACCGAAATGTTTACAAACCCACTAACAAGAGAACCATGATACGTCAAATCCTTCTTTGTAGCAATTGACCAGAGCTATCTCTAAGATCTTTCACACACATTTTTAAAAAGATTGAAATTACTATGAGATGAAATTGCATGTCAAAAGGGCTTCGTTTTCTACAGATAACGGCTAAACATCAATATTTTCCTTTGCTTACCTTATTTCTGACGATAAAAACTTTATCCCAAAATATCGCGATAACACTCATACAGATTCCATTTTAACTTCACGAACATCGAGGCGACTATTGGAGCAAAAAGCTCCCGAGAACAATTTCCCAGTGAGAAATAATGCTGCAAGTATAATGGGTAGTGGCGTCATTTCGTTGCTATGACAACTCTGATGTCAATGCAACCCTGATCATGACAAATTTTCATCTTTATCGAATACAACTGTGGTGACGATTTTTCCAATGTTTGTTTATGGCGACGTACGTAGTTTATGCTCAAACTTGGCAGGTATTGACCCTGAAAAACTGTATCGAGCCACTTTCACATGCCAGTACGGCCTATGTTGTTGCTTCGTATGGCCCTCGTCTCTTTTCGACTGTTTTGTAAAAATTTGGGCAACTTGCAAGAATTTTTGGGCAAATGGTTTACCGCCCCCCCTAGCCGAAAATTGTCCGTACGCCTATGAATAAGTTTCAATTTTCTTTGTTTGTTCTAAAAGTTAAGATTCCATTTTCACATCTTCTTATTAAAACAGGCTTACAGTTTTGCAAATAAGCTCATATTTGAGTGAACTTCTCTTTTTTTCTAGAGCAGGCAAAATATACAGCAATATATACAACAAAGCTCACAACTAATTATGTCCTCGAATAAATGGTTCTCTTCTTCGTCGATAAAAAATGACTGTGAAAGAAAGAAAAAGGACACTTAGTGGGATATTACATGACGCGCTATACTGCTTGCCATGACACTTGCTTTTCAAAATGGCTGCCGAACAATGAATCCTGAACAACCACGCTTGTTTGTAAGGTGTGTCTAGTGGTAAATCACCCTGAAATAGCATTGACCTTGGAAAAATGTTTAATTCAAGGTAAAATCATTGTTTGCTTTCCTTGAATTGAACGCTTTTGATGAATTATGTGACTTTTCTTGATATCTGCAAGTTATTGCTCTTAGCTTCTACTAAGTAACAAGGGCAAACCTATGGATGGAAAATAAATGTGCTAAGAGGTCTGTAGTTTGAAAGAATAATAAAATTTGAGAAGGCAAAACAATCTCTTGAAAACGTATTGATTGAAGCGATTGAAACATCAATGAAATTGAAAGTTACCCCTGAGGATGTATATATTTTTAGGTTCAGAGCCCCCCTCCCATCTGGATTTCCAGAGCCATTAATCCCCCCTTCTGTGAGATTTTCCAGGGTGCCTTCTGTTGTGGAGGTGTGGATTTTTTCTGGAATAACCCAATAGAACATGCTTCCTCAGGGGCGGATCCAGGATTTTTTTAGGAGGGGGTGCACTCGTCTCTTGCTCTACTTCAACACCAATAAACCACATAGTTTTTTTTTTTTGGAGAATACTAGTTGTATTAGAAAACCGCAGGTCATCTCAGGGGGGTGCGCACCTCCTGCACCCTCCCCCTAAATCCGCCCCTGTTCCTGCCTTGTGGGGAACAGGGTGACTGTCTTAGAGGCTCACTTTAAGATACCTTTAACTTTGTCATAGTTACTTAGTTTGTAAAATTTACTGACTCACTTTTATATCTGATGTAAATTATGGGTAGGTCTATAAATGCAGCTTTAGATCAAGTGAGCAGCTGTACCCATTTTCTAAGAATTCTTATATTGTTGGTTGTTCTCCATATATCTTCTTAATGTCCTTTTCTCTATCTCATCTTTCCATAACGTTGTCTGACTAATATGTAGAAAGGCTTCTCCAAATAATACTGGGGGGAGGGGTACCAGCAGCTGAACAGTGATGCTGATGAAAGCAATGGAAACAGTTGACTGAAACATGCTGAATTTGCATGATCCTTTTTTTTCTTTTCATTTTACTTTTTAATTAAACTTACTCTTTCATTCATTTGTGCAAATTACTGATTATTTATTCATTTTAGGTAATGACATCGAAGATACCAGAGTGTCCAATCTGCTTTGAACATTACAATGACCAAAGCAAATGTCCTCGGCTTCTGAGTTGTGGACACAGCTTCTGCTCAAGCTGTCTGGAGAGACTTCTCCATGGTAACACCATTGATTGTCCCACATGCAGAAATCCTGGTGCTGTTCCTACTGGGGTGGAAGGACTGTTAAAGAATTTTGCATTATTGGACCTTGTGAATGACACACCCAAAGAAAATGTTGGGAGTAATACAGGCTCACATGATTGTGAAGCTTGTGGTGAGAAGCACGCTGCAAATTTCTGCTGCCTTGACTGCAAAGAAAACATGTGCAAAACTGCAGCTCAGTTTCATACTCGCAACAAGGCAAGTCGCGATCATCAAGTTGTCTCCCTCGAGGAACTGGAAGCAAACCCTCAGCTCACTTCTGCATCCCTCATATGCCAAAAACACAACGATAAATTCCGGTTTTTTGATGAGAAATGTGGTCATGCAGTTTGTAGAGAATGCATCGCTCTTGAACACTTTGGTCACTTGTGTTTACCACTTGCTGAAACTGCCTCAGAGTATGGAAATGAAGTGAAAGATCTAATAAAAAAGACTAACATGTGGAAACTGGATCAGCGGTTGAATATGAACTGGAAAAGGCTCAACTTGAAAAGGAGGTGGGATACCTACAAGGCATCCTTAAAAAGGTAAAAAAAGTTAGAATAATTATGTGTTGTTTGGGTTAACTTATTGTTACATGCTGCCAAAGTTAGAATTCAATTCATTTTTTTCACATTAATTTTTTTTTCTAAAACTGAGACTCTCTTTGGGTATTTCCAAAGAAATCAAAGTCACCACAATTGCTATTAATGAAACAATAATCCCTTTAAGAGATTAATGTAATAATCATGTTGCCATTCAGATCAAGTTTCAAGTTTGACATTTTGGACAGTTTTGGCTCTTTTTGGGCTGATAGTGATCAGAAAAAATAACAAATGGCTGTTATAGGAGCTGAGGTACATTTAACATTTACAGGAAGAAATAATTTCCTTAAGATGGAAGTTTGAAGACAGAGTGGATCTGCTCAGACTCCTCTCACGATAAAACTTGTAACAGAAAATGCATGTTGTAGCTTAAGGCGACAGAGGGTAACACAGGCTATTTACATCGCTATTCTATTAAAAACAAAGGTTTAAAGGCTTCTTTATGGTGGAAACTGCACTTAGGTCATATGCCTCAAAGATCCCTATCGTTTCGCCATAAGGGCGCTATTTGAAGTGTCCAATCTAAAGTTTTCTTTGATTACAAGTTAAAGCTGCTTTCCTATAGCTATAAAAAAGATTGCGAAGCGCTGTTTGCGATGCATTCCTGTTGGAATATATAGCAAGTTACCTTTTTCACAAGGCAGAAAGCTGAGTTCCCAGGAGGAAGGCGGGGGGGGGGCGGCACCGCCCTTCAGGGATATCAAAGGGCGGGTAAGTAATTCACGAGTTGAAGTCTATGAAAGGGTAGCAAAATCTTTACATATTTGAAATGTCTTAATAAAATGCCTCGAAAAGCGGATCCTTATGGAACATTGTAATTTATTTCACGTTATGCGAAAACGACTTTCTGTTTTATTTTTATTAATAGCTATGTTCAAGGGGCAACATTTTTCAATGGACGGTATACAGAGGGGGTATTTTTTCTTTAGTCAAATATGGTGTACAGTTGAACTTCTCCACAAACGGCCACCTTGGGGACAGGAGAAAGTAGCCGTTTTAGAGAGGTTTGAACAAGCGTAAATGTATGGACTGTCCACCAAAAATGTGACCATTGTATAGAGGTGGCTGTTAGTGGAGGTTCGACTGTATAAAAGGCTGGACCTCCAGGATGAGCCTCCCCGTAAAAACGTTTGTTGACTACTCTTCCCCGCCCATACAGGGGCTGACGGCATGAACCGATAACCCCAGTAAAGGTAAAATTGGTTGTCACATGACCAACGTGGCTTTCCGACCGACAAGGCGGAACTACATTTGCTTCAAGGTTTCCTGTTTCATGCCATACCATGGCGTACAACTTCGATTTAAACTATTTGCCAAGGACAAGCTTATTGTATTAAACGCAGTAGAATTATAGACTAATTCCAAAAGACTAATTCAAGCTTATTGACGCTCTTTTTCTGCCGTCGCATAGCTCTATGATGCAGTTCGATGATTTGTTTCGAACTCCTATTGCTTTATCATTTAAATGTGGGTTTAACGTCAAATACTGATGCTTTGTTTCTCATTTCAAGGCGCTATTTTAAGCAAAAATGGCAGTTCGGCCTCGGTGGATAACACCCTCCTCTAGCTGCTTAATTCTTCATATCCTACGAAAGCCAAATTCATTCATTGCTTTATTATTCATTCAAAATAATTCCTAGTTTATAAACATAGAGAAAACATGCTTACCTGCATTGATGTTAAGTTCATCTTCGACAGTGTACGTTTAGGTTTGTCCAGCTCCGCAAATATTTTCCAAATAGCAGATGTTGCCGTCCAAGTTGTCTTTTTGATGTTTTTGCCATGTTTTTAGCTATTATTTCGCTTAGTTCTAGCTGTAGTTCTTACTCTTAAAACGAGTGAGATTTCCGCCATTTTTTCCACAACCAAAACAACTCGACCTCGTCCGCAGGTCTTCTCGGTAACGGTGCCTTAACCTGTAGCGGGCTGCATTTTTGACGTCATTTCCTCGTTAAACACAAAACTCTTCCAAATTTGGTCATCAGTAACTGGTTATGGTGAATTATGCGCGCGCTTTTATCCAATCAGAATTGGGGAAATATTTTGAATGAATTGTAACAATTATTACCGGTGTATTAAGCCGGACAAGAAGACGAAGTGAATTGAGCAACTTCAAGATGGCGGTTCAACAACAACTCTTTTAATCCATGAAAGCGAGGCTAATACGTCACGACTTACAATATCTCAATGTTAACCAATGTTAACCAATATTGTCACATCCTTCCCTTTTTTTTTTTTGATAATGGAAAACTTAACAATGATACTGCAAAACTAAGCTTATTAAACAAAGAATATACTGAAAGTGCAGTGTGTTATTTTCTGAACTACAGTTCTAAAGTCTCAGTTCCTGGAAATCGATGTTACGGAAGAAAAATAAAATGATAACGATTAAGTCTTAACATAGTCTTGGAATCTAACGGGCTCTTTGATGACACGTCCCGAGCGAGTACGCACAGGTGATGATTGCTTGGTGGACTTTGCTTCCAGGTGGACCTTCTGGCTGTTCGCAGCTTGTGTGTTTAGCAATCCGGTATCTGGACTCTGTTGGGGTCCAGGTAGTGGATCTGGTGCAGGTAGTGTATCTGGTACTGGTACAGGAGGGCTCTTGACCAGGTGCTGCCTATTGCGTCTATAGGTGGACCCGTGTGACTGGATTTCGTAGGACCTCTCATCTAATCGCTTTGTCACTTTACCCTTGTCCCAATCATGTTTGCCGAGCACAAATGGCTTCATTCTGACAGTGTCGCCAACATTCAGGGCTGGAAGATCATGGGCTAACCTGTTGTAATAACACTGCTGCCTCTTTTGGTTTAACTGGAGTTGTTCCATCTCATAGAGATTTGGTGGGTTTCTGGGTTCCAGGAGTGATCTTGTGGATGGTAGCAGACTTCTTGTCCTTCTTCCCAGGAGACGCTGTGCTGGGCTACTAGCAACACCTTGAGTTGGTGTGTTCCGGATATTGAGTAGAGCCAGGTACTGGTCTTCTCCTGACTTTGATGTCTTGCGTAACATTCTTTTCGCAGTTTTCACAGCCGATTCAACCTTTCCGTTTGCTTTGCTGTGGTACGGTGATGTGGTAGTGTGTTCAATGCCCCATTTCTTTGTAAAAGACTTGAATTCGCTGGATGTAAACTGGGGACCATTATCTGTAACCAGTTGCCTAGGGATACCATACCGCGCCAGGTGTGACTTCAACTTTTTGATCACAGTTGATGACTTGGTGTTGGTGAGTGGATCCAACTCCCAGAAGTTAGACTTGTAGCAGACGGTGACGAGGTACTCTTTGTCATGATAAGTGAAAAGGTCTGCTCCAATTTTCTCCCATGCTCCTTCAGGGATTTCATGAGACATAAGCGTCTCTTTGCAAGGAGTCAGTTCATTCTCTCTGCATGTCTCACAGGTGCGAATCCACGCTTTTAATTCCTTGTTCATTCCTGGCCAATAGACATGTTCCCTTGCGCGGCGCAGGCAGGCTTCAATTCCTTGGTGTCCGCTATGGATGTCTTTCTTGACTGCTGCTCGCATTCCTTTAGGTATCACAAGTCGCTCGCCGCGGAATATCAAGCCGTCTGTAACTGCAAGTTCATCCCTGACACTGAAGTAGGGGGTAACGAGGGGTGGTAGTGATTTCTCGTCTGCTGGCCAACCTTCTTGTATTATGCGTTTCAGCTGTTGAAGAGAGGTATCGTCACTGGTGTGCTGGCGGATCTCATGAATCTTCTCTTCAGGCATGATCAGATAGGAGAGGGCATTTATGGTCTCGAACTCTTCTTGTCCACAATCAGAGGTTCTTGGCAGGTGAGCTCTGCTGAGCGTGTCGGCTAGGTACATTTCTTTACCATTTAGGTATCTAACTTCGATGTCATATGCCAGGGCGCGCATTAACATTCCCTGTAAGCGCTTAGGAGCTCTGTCCAGGGGCTTCTTCACGATGCTTGCAAGTGGTTTATGATCTGAATACACAGTCACAGGACGACCAAACGTGTACTGGTGCCATTTTTCTAGGGAAAACACAATCGCGAGCATCTCCTTCTCTATGGTGGCATATCTGGCTTCTGCTTCACTCAAAGCCCGGCTGGCGTATGCTAGTGGCTGGCCGTCTTGAAGGAGGGCGGCTCCCCGCCCCTGTCCACTAGCATCACATTGGATCATTAGGCTTTTACTTGGATCAAAATAGGCTAGTACAGGTGCTTGTGTCAGCAAGCGCTTCATCTCTGTAAAAGCTTTCTCGTGCACAGCATCCCACGTCCACTCAGAGGTGGGGCGGGCTATTTCATAGATTGGACGCATCACATCAGACAGGTTTGGAACAAGTTTAGACAGGTAATTCACAGTTCCTCTTAGTCTTTCCACTGCTGCTTTGTCTTGAGGAGGTGCCATGTTTTGGACTGCTTCAACTTTGGAGGGGTCTGGCTTGAGGCCATCACTGGTCAACACGTGGCCCATGAACGGGATCTCGTTGAGACCAAAACGACACTTCTCTTTGCTCAAGGTGATACCCTTATCGACACAGCACTTGAGGAAGGTACAGACACGTGCATCGTGTTCTTCATCTGTTCGACCCCAAATAATCACATCGTCAGCGATACAGCGGACTCCCTCAAGGCCTTCAAGAGCATGATGTAGTCGTTTTTGGAGGATTTCACTGCTGACTTTCAAACCAAAAGGGAGACGTAGCCACCGATAGCGTCCGAAAGGCGTGGCAAACGTGGTCAACAAACTTGATGCATGATCGAGCTCACAGTGAAGGTACCCAGACTTGAGATCACAAACAGAGAATACTTTCGCCTTGGTAAGGTCTGGAAGAACATCTTCTAGAGTGGGAAGCTTGTAGTGTTCACGTTTCAGTGCTTCATTAAGAGGTCTTGGGTCAATACAGATACGAATTCCAGCTTTCTTTTCAGCAACAGACATTTGACTGACCCAGTCAGTAGGTTCATCCACAGG